TCAAACGTTTCCGGGAGGAACCCAACCCCCAAAAGCCTTTTCCAGGTGTTGGGCCACCCCCAGGGTTAGATGGTCGTTATACTGGGAGGAGACCCCCCCCCAGCGGCAGTCCAGCTTGGCTAAGTCCCAGCGGGCACTGGGTGACTGGGAGTCCCAATACCCCCCCCCCCCCCCCTGCCGAGAGAAAAAAACAAAAAAAAAAAAAAACTCGGATTAGGGAGGCGAATTCTTCTACGCATTTTGGTCTCTCGTGCCATTTAAACTGTAATTATGGCTTCCAAATAATAATCGGCTTGGATCGTAGCCCTGGCTTCTGCATGTCATCATACTTATCAGCTGCAACTCTTGAAGGATCAGCAAGAGCACCCCCACCCCCCCCCCCTTTCTGCTCTCTCCTCAAATCAGCATATATGCATTCTACACACCCCCCTCCCAGTTCTGCCCCCCCCCACTCACAATCTAAGCTCTGCAAGAGGATGATATCACCCCCCATCCCCTCAGATCTGTATCCTGCTCCCAATGACTGGACCAATGGTGTATCTATTTCCTATCCCCCCTAGGCAACAAGAATCGAGCATCCCCCACTCCCCCAGTCACCACTGCTACTCACCACCCCCCACCCCGTCACCCCCACTGCCGCCAACACTCGATCACCCGCCGACCCCCCCCCCCCCACCACCCGATCAACTGCCACCCCCCCCCCCCCCACCCCCCCCCCCCCCCCCCATCCCCAATGCCACCAAACCTCAATCACTCCCCCCCCCCCCCCCCATCCCCCCACCTGACCGACCCCCACCTGCCATATGCCCCCACCCGTCACCACTGCCACCCCACCACCATGCACCCAGTCACCACTGCCGCCAACACTCAATCACCCCGCCATCCGTGCTTTCCCCATCACCACTGCCTGCCCCACCTGCCATATGCCCCCACCCGTTGCCACTGCCCCCCATCATGCACCCCCGTACCCCCAAAGCTGCCAACACTCGATCACCCCCCAACCGTGCCCCCCCCCCCCCACCACCCAATCAACTGCCCCCACACACCATGCACCTCCCCGTCCCCAATGCCACCAACACTTGATCACCCGCCATCCACGCTTCCCCCATCACCACTACCCAATCACCTGCCATAAGCCCCCCCGTCGCCACCACCATGCACCCCTGGCCCCAAAGCTGCCAACACACTCGATCACTCGCCATCTGCTCCCCCCCCACCCGATCACCTGCTCCCTCGCCAACATTCGATCACCCGCCATCCCCCCGCCACCTCCCATCGCCCCCCCCACATCCACTCCCCCCCAATCACCTGCCATCTGCTCCTCCCTTCACCACCACCTGATCACCCACTCAAAAGAACCAACCTGCACGAGAAGTGTCCGGCCATCCCCCGCACCCTCTAGCAGCTCATAGCTTCCTCACCAGGTCCCCGTCCCTGCCACTTCTTCTGGGGAGGGGGGGGGGGGGGGGGAAGCAACCCCCCTGCCTCCCCCCCTAAAAATTGCCACCCAAAGCAAGCACCTTGTTGGCCTCGCAGTAACTATGCCACTGGACTGGACAATGAGGCAGCAGGAGGCTGAGGAGGTCATCCTTCAACGCTCTCCTCCTTGTTGGCACATTTGCTTCCTGCATATGATTGGTTCCCAGTCCTGCCCTTCATTCCCACAGTTTGAGGGCCAACTTCTCTGTTACAATTAAAGAATACAGCTGCATCTCCCATGACCTGCTGACTGGAGAGAGCAGAAAGATGACCTCCATATCCTCCTGCTGCTCCTTCACTGCCCTCTCTAACCTGCACGTTCCTTGTCTACACCTTTGCATTCTGTAGACCTGATTGGCTCCCAGTCCTGCCCATCCCTCTCATAGTCAAGAGGCCGATGCCAAGTCAAATGTAAGTCGATGCAATAATACAGCATTGAATGGGTAAGGAGGAACGAGGGGGGGGGGGGGGGGGGGAGGTTTGGTTGGAGATTGGCTTTAACTGAAACACAATATACAAAAACTATTCTGGCACGACCATGGAAAGTACTTACCGGTGTAGGCAAAGTTGAAAGGCCAAGCGAGAGGTTGGTGGTGTTTTGGGGCGATCTTGGGATGAGAAGGGTAGAGGAGAATTCCATCGTTCCCCAGCAAGGTGTTCAGTTCCTCTTTCAAGTTTTTTTGGCTTTTTGCACCATTTTTGCACTTCCTTGTGGATTCAGATTTGCCAAATTCTCAGCGAGAGCCAGACCTGCGTGAGACATAGAACAGAACAGGAGCTGCCTGAGACCCAGAGCAAACCAGGACCCGCGTGAGACCCAGAACAAAAACAGGACCTGCGTGAGACCTTCAGTGGGGAAAATTATGTGATCCCCTGCAGATTTTGTAGGATTGCCCACTTAAAATACACCTATAACAACTGTAGACCCTTCATTTCTTTCTAAGTGATAGAGACGGAATATCAACCAAAAATCCAGAAAAAAAAAAAAAAACCACAATACAAATGTTATAATATTGGGTTGCAGTTCAGTGAGTAAAATAAGTATTTGATCCCCAAGCAAAACATGACTTGGAACTTGGTGGAGAAACCCTTGTTGGGAAGCACAGAGGTAAGACATTTCTTGGGTTCCCAGGTTTGCAGACATCTCAGGAGGGATTTTGGTCCCACTCTTCTTTACAGATCTTCTCTAAATCCTTAAGGTCACTTGGCAACTCAAAGTTTCAGCCCCCTCCATAAATTTTCTATAGGATGAAGGTCTGGAGACTGGCTAGGCCACTTCATGACCTTAATGTTTGTTGATCTTTGTTGCCTTGGTGGTATGTTTTGGGTTATTGTCATGCTGGAAGACCCATCCACGACCCATCTTCAGTGTTCTGCCTGAGGGAAGAAGGTTCTCATCCATGATTTTACAATACATGGCCTCATCCATTGGCCCCTCAATGCGGCAATGGCGGTCTGTACCTTTAGCAGAGAAACAGCCCCAAAGCATAATGTTTCCACCTCCGCGCTTGGCTGTAGGGTTGGTGTTCTTAGGGTCATAGTCAGCATTTTTTCTTCCTCCAAACACGGAGATTCGAGATGTCAAAGAGCTCAATTTTGGTCTCATCTCATCTTTCTCCCAATCTTTCTCTGAATCATTTAGATGTTAATTAGCAAACTTCAGACGGGCCTGGACATGTGCCTTCTTGAGCAGAGGGACCTTGCTGGCGCTGCAGGATTTCAATCCATGGCGGCGTCTTGTGTTACCAATGGTTTGTTTGGTGACTGTGGTCCCAACTGCCTGGAGATCATTCACAAGCTCCTCCCATGTAGTTCTGGGCTGATCCCTCACTTTTCTCATGATCATCCTTACCCCATGAGGTGAAATCTTGCATGGCGCTCCAGACCGAGGGCGATCGATGGTTATTTTGTATTTCTTCCATATGCGGATAATCACACCAACAGTTGTCTCCTTCTCACCAAGCTTCTTGCTGATGGTCTTGTAGCCCATTCCATCCTTGTGTAGGTCTACAATCTTGTCCCTGATGTCCTTTGACAGCTCTTTGGTCTTGCCCATGGTGGTGAGGAAGAAAGATTGTGTGGACAGGTGTCTTATACACATTACAAGTTGTTAGGGGCACCTTCTTAAGTTGACAGGACTGATCTGTGTACCACATGAGCACATAGCCAGTCTGTGAAAGCCAGAATCATTGTTGGCTGGCAGGGGATCAAACACTTATTTAACTCTCTGAACTGCAACTCCATTTATAACATTTGTATTGTGTGTTATTTCTGGATTTTTGGTTGATATTCTGTCTGTATCATTTAAAATACACCTAAAAATTATAGACCCTTCATTTCTTTGTAAGTTGGCAAGCATACAAAATCTGCAGTAGATCAAATTATTTTCCCCCACTGTAGAACAGAGCCCGGACCGGCACGGGCCCTAAAAACAGAGCCCAGACCAGCACGAGCGCTAAAAACAGAGCCCAGACCGGCACGAGCCCTAAAACAGAGCCCAGACCGGCACGAGCGGTAAAAAACAGAGCCCGGACCGGCACGAGCCCTAAAAACAGAGCCCGGACCGGACGAGCCCTAAAAACAGAGCCCAGAGCGGCACGAGCCCTAAAAACAGAGCCCGGACCGGCACGAGCCCTAAAAACACAGCCCGGAACGGCACGAGCCCTAAAAACAGAGCCCAGACCGGCACGAGCCCTAAAAACAGAGCCCAGACCGGCACGAGCCCTAAAAACAGAGCCCGGAGCGGCACGAGCCCTAAAAACAGAGCCCGGAGCGGCACGAGCCCTAAAAACACAGCCCGGAACGGCACGAGCCCTAAAAACAGAGCCCGGACCGGCACGAGCCCTAAAAACAGAGCCCAGAGCGGCACGAGCCCTAAAAACAGAGCCCAGACCGGCACGAGCCCTAAAAACAGAGCCCGGACCGGCACGAGCCCTAAAAACAGAGCCCGGACCGGCACGAGCCCTAAAAACAGAGCCCGGACCGGCACGAGCCCTAAAAACAGAGCCCGGACCGGCACGAGCCCTAAAAACAGAGCCCGGACCGGCACGGGCCATAGAACAGAACAGAGTTCTGACTGTTTCAGCAAACCTATGACCAGCAGATCTTCTCAGCCAACTTTGGCATCTGACCTCACCATAACCACTTCAATCCCGGGCACTTTCACCCCTTTCCTGCCCAGGCCAATTTTCAGCTTTCAGTGCCATCCCACTTTGAATGACAATTGCGCGGTCATGCAACACTGTACCCAACAGAGAACTTTCTTTTGGTGGTATTTATTCACCACTGGGGTTTTATTTTTTTGCTAAACAAAACAAAACAAAAAAAAAAAAAAAACGAAAATTTTGAAAAAAAAAAATAAAGTAATTTTTATTCTTCACTGATGTGAGCTGATGAGGCTGCATTTATGAAGCCACATTAATGAGGCGGCACTGATGGGCAGCTCTGATAGGTGCTAATGAGGCATTAATAAGTGGTACTGATGGGCACTGAAAGGCAGCACTGATGATTGGGGTATACAGGGCACTGATGATCACTGTAAATGTCTCCTGTTATGATTGCCGGCTCGAGGGAGAGACCGAGAGAGGGAGAGAAGGAAGGAAAAGAAGTAGACGAGAAAAAGAAGAGAAAGAAGTAGACATCCAGGGGGGCAGCATGTCCTCAATGCCTGCCAGGCCCTGCTATACCCCCCTTTAAAAAGCGATCCACTGCACATCATTTTTCATAGGGTGGTAAGCACTGTAAGAGACCTATTGGCCGGTTTTACAAAGCACATAAAATTAGCATTCCTCCTCACCTATTGCTGGTATTGTGTACTTGGATAAACCCAACATCCATTTCACCAGTTCCCAACCGGGCCACATCCGCTGCCCATCAGACATCAAATCTGAAAAACTCTAAAAAAGGAGAAGAGAAGAAAACAAATGGAATCATCTTGTTGTTCACCTATGAAGGAAATAAAGACAGCCCTGTATGCATGCCTGGGCAACAATCTGCTTCATCTGTTCAGTGGTTCCTCAACTGCTAAGGCTTTTTCTTGATTAATCCTCCACCATATCAGGTAAGGACAGTGTCAACACGAGGAAGCAAAGCCCTGCCTCTACCAAGATGGCTACCTCCATACAGATTGGGTGATCTCATTACTGGGATGCTGCTTGCTCGAAGTTCTGAACTGTGGAAGCAAAGCCCTGCCTCTACCAAGATGGCTACTTCCATACAGATTGGGTGATCTCACTACCATGATTCTGCTTGCTGGAAGCTCTGACCTGGGGAAGCAAAGTCCTGCCTCTACCAACATAGCCACCTACATACAGATCTGGTGATCTCACTACTGATGCTGCTTACCGGAACCTCTGACCTGGGGAAGCAAAGCCCTGCCTCCACCAGATCTGTATGAAGGCAGCCATCTTAGTAGAGACAGGGCTTTGCTTCCCCAGGTCAGAGCTTCCGGCAAGCAGAATCATGGTAGTGAGATCACCAGATCTGTATGGAGGCAGCCATGTTGATAGAGGCAAGGCTTTGCTTCCCCAGGTCAAAGCTTCTGGCAAGCAGCATCATGTCAGTGAGATCACTAAATCTGTATAGAGGTGGCCATCTTGGTAGAGGCAAGGCTTTGCTTCCCCAGGTCAGAGCTTCCAGCAAGCAGAATCATGGTAGTGAGATCACCCAATCTGTATGGAGGTAGCCATCTTGGTAGAGTCATGGCTTTGCTTCCCCAGGTCAAAGCTTCTAACAAGCAGCATCACAGCAGTGAGATCACCAAATCTGTATACAGGTGGCCATCTTGGTAGAGGCAAGGCTTTGCATCTCCAGATCAGAGCCTCCAGCAAACAGCATCATGGTAGCAAGATTACCAAGATCGTCACCTCCATACAGATCTGGTGATCTCACTACCGTGGATGCTGCTTCCCAAAAGCTCTGACCTGGGGAAGCAAAGCCTTACCTCCACCAGAGCTGTATGGAGGTGGCCATGTTGGTAGAGGCAGGGCTTTGCTTCCCCAGGTCAGAGCTTCCGGGAAGCAGCATCACAGTCGTGAGATCACCAGATCTGTATGGAGGCAACGATCTTGCTACGATCTCACTACCATGATGCTGCTTGCTGGAGGCTCTGACCTGGAGAAGAAAAAGCCTTGCTTCTACCAAGATGGCCGGCTCTATAAAGATTTTGTGATTTCACTGCCGTGATGCTGCTAGCCGGAAGCTTTGACCTGGGGAAGCAAAAGTCTGCCTCTACCAACATGGCATCTGCACAGACAATGCAGAAGAAAAATTTCTAAGTCAGTGATGGAGGAAAGAACATCTGCAGGGAGACTCCTGGTGGGAGGGGGGGGAAAGATCGATGATCACGTGACCACTGTGATTGGCTGTCAAAATGGTCACACGATCAGGAGACAGTCCCACCAGCTACGTCTTTGAAACATCGGCCCATAGGGCTAACGCGTTTCAAGGACTTGCAAGAGGCATTTCCACTCAAGTTTTGGTGACCGACTCCCAAGGGAAAATTCTGCCTAAAGGGATGCAGACCCTGCCACTGTCCTCTGCAGGTGCAGCAGCTGATTGATAATGATAAAGTCACTCCCATTCATTCTGCACATGGACACAGACAACCAGCTATTTCTTCAGAACAACAAAAGGTAGGATTCTGCCACAAAGTTGGTAACAATCCCATCAGTGTGCATAGATCACCCAGAGGGGGAGCAAAAGTGGAGTTGCTCTTTAGATATTTAGCTGCTTCTAATGTCAATCAGGTTTCTTTCATGAAGCTACTAAGACACGATTTTCCCTTCTACATTCCAATTTTCTAGTTATATTTATAATTTGGTGGTCTGCACTGAGATGGTGGCGCCCTCGCCTGTTCATATTTATAATTTGGTGGTGGTCTGCACTAGATGGTGACGCCCTCTCCTGTTCATATTTATAATTTGGTGGTGGTCTGCGCTTAGATGGTGGCGCCCTCTCCTGTTCATGTTTATAATTTGGTGGTGGTCTGCACTGATATGGTGGCGCCCTCTCCTGTTCATATTTATAATTTGATGGTGGTCTGCACTGAGATGGTGGCGCCCTCGCCTGTTCATACTTATAATTTGGTGGTGGTCTGCGCTTAGATGGTGACGCCCTCTCCTGTTCATATTTATAAATTCGGTGGCACACTTTATTCCAAGGCTCTCTGATAAAAACAGACATGTTTTACCTCTCCTTTGTCCGCGCCTGATGACATCATAGCCGACCAGATTTGGAAGGAATAGCGCATGTTGTAGATGTTGATGGGTTGGACGCTGACTCCAAGTGACGTCTCTAAATGCTGGACAACCTATGAAAGGATAATGCACGTTAAAAGAATTTTCGTACAGAGAAAAATAGGTGCAGGTATTCCCCTCCCCCTTTCATGTCACCTCTTGTCTCCGCCCCTACCCACCTCCAAGCACAGTCCCTATGGAATTTGTTGTTACTGATAAGAAAAGCAGTAGAATAGATCTCCTGTAGCCAGGAACATAATAGACCCCCCCCAGCAATAATCAGATCCCCCACAATAAAAATACCCCATTCCCCCAGCAATAATAGAACCCCAGCAACAAAATACCCAATTCCCCCAGCAACAATAGATCCTCAGCAACAAAATATACCTCATTCCCCCAGCAACAATAGACCCCCCAGCAACAAAATACTCTTCTTCCCCCAGCAACAATAGAACCCCAGCAACAAAATACCCCTTCAACAATAATCCTCAGCAACAAAATACCTTTCCCCCAGCAACAATAGACCCCCGCACAACAAAATTTTCCCCCAGCAACACTAGATCACCTTCAACAAAATACCCCTTTCCCTCAGCAACAACAATCCCATGCAACAAAATACCCCACCCCCCCCCCATCAACAATAAAATTCTCAGCAACAAAATACCCCATCCCCCCAGCAATAATAAATCCCCAGCAACCAAATACCCTATCCCCCCAGCAACAATAGATCACCAGCAAAACAAATCCGTTCTCCACAGCAACAAATAGATCCCCAGCAACACAATGCCCCCCTTCCCCCAGAAACACTAGATCACCTGCAACAAAATATCCCCTTCTCGCAGCAACAGAGCCCAAGCAATAAAATACCCCCTTCTAGCAACAATAAATCCCCCCCATAACTCCCTCAGCAACAAATATATTCTCCACAACAAAATACCCCTTCCCTTAGCAACAATAGACCCCCACCTCAGCAATAGATTCCCAGCAACATCATATCCCCTTCCCCCAGCCATAATAGATTCCCTGCAACAAAATACCCACTTCCCCCAGCAACAATAGATCCCCCATGACAAATAAGTCCTCCCCCAGAAACAAAAGACCCCCACATCAACAGTAGACCCCCGTGACAAATAAGCACTCCCCCAGAAACCATAGACCCCCGCATCAACAATAGATCCCATGCAACAACATATCGCCTTACCCCAGCAACAACAGACCCCCCACGACAACAATAAATCCTCTGCAACAAAATACCCCTTCCACCAGCAGCAATAGATCCACCCTAGCAACAACAGACCCCACCAGCAAAAATAGATGTCCCAGCAGCCAGCATCAATAGACCCTACAGCGCTTTTGGACATTTTTTTGAGAAAAAAAAAAATTTTTTTTTTTTTGGGGGGGGGGTAAAAAAAAAAAAAAAAAAAAAAAAAAGTGGCTGAACGCTAAAAAAAAAAAAACTCACATTTTTAACGTGACTTTACACAGCTAACGCGACCAGCGTTATTACAACGCCGCGCGTGCATGGAGCCATAAAAGGTAAATCTTTTTTTAGTGTCACTTTAATAAAAACTGCGTGTTAAATCTTCTGAGATGTTAGTGGTTGGGGGTTACATCTACTAAAATGTGAGAAATAAATAAATCCCATTGGATGGGCGGGATTCTATGACGTCATCAGCATTCCTCACCTGCCTTTGCGCTTGGACCAATTCTTTATCCATAGGAGATACAAAGAGACAACCGCCATCATTCTCCATGGAGAAGAACCGCAGACTGCGCAGAGATACGTCCTGATCCAGAGACAGCCTGGGAGAATAAAACACACAAGTCATCAATATCCGATGTATTCTATTCATTATATTAGGGTTGCACTAATACAGATACTATGCATTTGTACAAATATTAGTACTCGTGCAAAATGCTCAGATATGTTCAGGTTCGGGTTTTTTTTTTTTTTTTTTTTTTTATGTAAGAAAAAAAAAAAAAATCCAGTAAAAAACAAAAAAGGCCGGCAATTATTGGTTGTGAAGGAGCGGGGCCGCCACACCTTAACAACCGATGACTCATTCAGCTGGCAGCTGAAATGTAAACAAGTCCTGGCAATTGGTAAAAAAAAAAAAATATATATATATATATATATATATATATATATATATATATATATATATATATATATATATATATATATATATATAAATAAAAAAATAAAAAACAGTCAGGCTTTTTTTTTTTTTATTTTATCAACAAGACTGCTCAGCCTAAAATAGAAAAAAAAAAAAAAAAAAAAAAGGAACAAAGTTTAATTTTGTATCTTTCTGCTTATTCATCTGCAGATGAAGCCAGTTAACGGCAACCTGCCAAGGAAGAGAAAAAAAAAGAGAAAAAAAAAAGAAAAAAAAAAAAAAAAAGTTTGTTTTTTTTTAATTAAATAAAATGGTCCACTGTTCCACCATTTATTAACCCCTAATTTACTCTAATCAGCCCTAATTAACTCCTTATTCTCCTCCATTTAGTTATTAGTTTCCTACTGATTTTTAGGCTCATTTCTATTTTATAAAAACTATTAAAATTAAAACTTTTTTGTTATGTTACATCTTTAACATATATTCACACGTTTCACATTGGAAAAAAAAATAAAAAAAAAATATATATATATTTTTAAATTACTTTTCAATGCTTTGTACCAGAATCATATTTTTAGTGTCATTTTAAACAGGAAAGATTACAGACTAAAAATGCGTACTTTTATGTGCTGTAACCATATTTTTTTTTTTAACTGCTTCCCCCCCCCCGGGAGATTTACCCCCCCCCCCCCCTTCCTGATCAGGCCATTTTTTGCGTTACGATGCTGCATTACATTAACTGACAATTGCACGGTCATGCAACGCTGCAATTAAATTTACGTCCTTTTTTCTCCCACGAATAGAACCTTTCTTTCGGTGGTATTTAATCACCTCTGTGGTTTTCTTTTTTTCGAGCTATAAACTAAAAAAGACGGACAATTTGAAAAACAAACTCTATTTTTTACTTTTTGCTATTAAAACATGTCCAGTTTTAAAACAAAAAAAAAAAAAAAAAAAATCAAAATTTCGTCATAAATTTAGGGCAAAATTTATTCTGCTATGTCTTTGCTAAAAAAAAAAAAAAAAAAATCCAAATACATATAAATAAACCGCTTCTGCGCCACCTTATAGCAGAAATACTGCTACAGGGTGGCACAAGTGAGCAAAATCATATATATATAATATATATATATAATATATATATATATATATATATATATATATATATATATATATATATATAATAATATAATAAATAAAGAAACCAAGAAACCACAAAACACACACACAAGTGATACCGCCATTAGCAGCCTTGGCTGTCAATCACCTGGGTCCCGGCCAGCGTTTCCCCACCGGCACCTGGCGATCCCTGAGGATTTTTGACAGGGGAGAGACCTGTATGTAGAACAATACAGATCTCTTCCCTGTCAGCTCCTGCACACTGCTTTGTATGGCTGTGCATAGCAGAGCCATACAAAAGCAGTGTGATTACAGTGAAGCACAGACACCGCCCCATAGTGAAACAGCACACAGTTAACCCTTTGATCGCCTCAGATGTTAATCCCTTCCTGCCTAGTGTCATTAGTACAGTTTCAGTGCTTTTAATTAGCACTGATCACTGTATTGGTGTCACTGTTGATGTCAGTGACACCAAGTCAGTTCCCCCCCCCCCAGTGTCAGAATGCCAGCCGCAGTCCCGCTGTAAGTCGCTGATCACCACCATTACTAGTAAAAAAAAAAAAAAAAAAAAAAAAAAATCCCAGTATATATACCGCCATTTGTAGACTCTATAACGTTCACGTAAACCAATTAATTTACACTTTTTTTGTTTTCTATTTTTTTTTTAGCAAAGACATGGAGCAGAATACATTTTGACTAAATTTATTACGGAAATTTTTTTTTTTTTTTCATTTTAATTTTTTTTTAAATAATACATCATTTTATTGCGGTTGAATTTTAAGCATTGTGTGGGATGGGTTAGGGAGTGGACACCAAATCAGTCGCCCCCCACCCCCCCAGTGTCAGAATGCCCGCCGCAGTCCCGCTATAAGTCACTGATCGCCGCCATTACTAGTTAAATTAATAACAAAAAAAAAAAAAAAAATTCCAGTATGTATACCATTTGTATACGCTATAACTTTCACTTAAACCCTTTCATTTACACGTATTTAGATTTTCTTTTTTTTTTAACAAAGACACGGAGCAGAATACATTTTGGTCTAAATTTATGAGGAAAATTTGATTTTTACATAATTTTTTTACTGGACATGCTTAATAGCAAAAAGTCCAAAATATTGTTAGTTTTTCAAAATGGTAGTTTTTTTGTTTATAGCTCAAAAAATAAAACAAAAAAAATGCACAGGCGATTAAATACCACCGAAAGAAATGTCTATTTGTGGGGAAAAAAGAATGTAAATTTTATTTGGGTGCAGCGTTGCATGACCGCGTAATTGTCAGTTAAAGTAAAGCAGTGCCGTAATGCAAAAAATGGCCTGGTCGGAGGGGGGGTTAATTGGTTTACGTGAAAATTATAGAATTTTAAAAAAATGGTGGTATATATATATATATATATATATATACACACACACACACACACACACATATATATACACATACAGTCAGGTCCATAAATATTGGGACATCGACACAATTCTAACATTTTTGGCTCTATACACCACCACAATGGATTTGAAATGAAACGAACAAGATGTGCTTTAACTGCAGACTGTCAGCTTTAATTTGAGGGTATTTACATCCAAATCAGGTGAACGGTGTAGGAATTCCAACAGTTTGCATATGTGCCTCCCACTTGTTAAGGTACCAAAAGTAATGGGACAATTGGCTTCTCAGCTGTTCCATGGCCAGGTGTGTGTTATTCCCTCATTATCCCAATTACAATGAGCAGATAAAAGGTCCAGAGTTCATTTCAAGTGTGCTATTTGCATTTGGAATCTGTTGCTGTCAACTCTCAAGATGAGATCCAAAGAGCTGTCACTATCAGTGAAGCCATCATTAGGCTGAAAAAACAAAACAAACCCATCAGAGAGATAGCAAAAACATTAGGCGTGGCCAAAACAACTGTTTGGAACATTCTTAAAAAGAAGGAACGCATTGGAGAGCTCAGCAACACCAAAAGACCCGGAAGACCACGGAAAACAACTGTGGTGGATGACCGAAGAATTCTTTCCCTGGTGAAGAAAACACCCTTCACAACAGTTGGCCAGATCAAGAACACTCTCCAGGAGGTAGGTGTATGTGTGTCAAAGTCACCAATCAAGAGAAGACTTCACCAGAGTGAATACAGAGGGTTCACCACAAGATGGAAACCATTGGTGAGCCTCAAAAACAGGAAGGCCAGATTAGAGTTTGCCAAACGACGACATCTAAAAAAGCCTATACAATATATATATATATATATATATATATATATATAATATATATATATATATAAATACTGCGGCGGGCATTCTGACACTGGGGGGAACTGACTTTGTGTCACTGACATCACCAGTGACACCAATAGAGTGATCAAAAAAAAAAAGGGACATGCCGAAATTTATTGCAACCTTCTGGGTGGGATCACGTCATTGTACAGAAGCCCAGCACCCAAAACTGCTGCACAGTGACAAGAATGTAGTGTAACTTTTAATAAAGTTGTGTGGGCAGCACACTGCCCTCTACTGCTGAGTCACTGTAGCCAGAACACACTAAACAGCTGGGGTTTAGTGAGCGGCAGAGATGTTCATTGCTGTGTGAATGCACCCACTTAAAGCAGAGGTCCAGTCAAAATTTAGAAAAAAATGTACAAAATCAGCAGCTACAAGAAAAAAAAAAAAAAAAAAATTGGTAGCTGCCGACTTAAAAAAAAAAAAATAAAATAGACACTTGCATGTTCCACGATCCTGCGGTGTTCTCACACCAGCCAGTTTAACCGTTCGTCCCTGGCCCCCGGCGCCTTCAGTGTGGGCACCCTGTTGTGACAGCTTGAGAATAGTGCTACTGTTTGCAAATGGAACCTGTCACTTGTCCTGGAAAAACTACAGGAAGGGGGATTTGGGGCCAGAGGACAAAGTCTGCTTCCGATTGCCTAGGTGATTGAAATGGGAGTGGGGGGCAGGTACCTGCCAAATTCGGGTACCCCCTCCAAAAAAGTGTCAATCCTTTTTGAACGGGGGATCAAGCCTTTAAATCGGAACTTCCCCTTGTGGGTGGAGCTGCGGTTTATGAACCAGGCCTTTTTCTGACACTCTTCGTTTACAAGCAAAAATCAGTACATTTTTGCTAGAAAATTACTTAGAACTGCTTCTTATTTTTTTTTTTTTTTTTTTTTACAGCAGAGGCCTTAGAGTATAAAATGGGTGGTCATTGCAAATTTTTTTTAGATCACAGCAGTGATATAAAAACTGCAATACAGTTTTCCAAATGCAATTTTTTGGGAACAGAAAATATACACTTGAATGAATTTTAAAAAAACAAAAAAAAACCACAGAAAAACAAAAATCAAACAAACAAAAACCACACAAAAAACAGAACCAAACAAAAACCACAGAAAAAATAAAAACAAAATAAAAAACAAACAAACAAACAAAAACCACAGAAGAAAAAACAAAACCCAAAAAAAAACCCCCAAAACAAAACAAAACCACACAAAAAAAAAAAACAAAACCAAACAAAAATAAACACAGGAAAAACAAAAACCACAGAAAAAAAAAAACAAAACCAAACAAAAAAAACCCAAAACCAAACAAAACCACAGAAAAAAAACTAAATCAAACAAGAACACAAAACAAAACAAAAAAAAAAAAAAAAAACACACACCCACAACACCATTTTTTTTGTAAAATCTGAAAGATGATGTTACACCGAGTAAATAGATACCAAACATGTCATGCCAAGCTATGGTATTTAAAAATCTCCACGGGTGACATTTTAAAAAGTTCTACAGGTTACAAGTTTAGAATTACAAAAGGAGGTCCAGTACTAGAATTATCGCTCTCGCTCTGACATTCACAGCGATACCTCACATGTGTGGTGTGAACAGTTTACATATGATGGCATGACCTAGGTATTCATGTATCACTGTGCACAAACATGGGGGGGGAGATGGTAACGCTTTAAAAAATTAATTTTTATTACTTTTTTTTTTTTTTTTTACACCGTCTCTTTACATTATTTTCTTGGTCTCTTTTATTGCTATCGAAAAAATGTAAAAACATTCCTTGCCACAATACAGCATGACAGGTCCTCTTTTATAAGACTTGAAATCTCTCCTCTACCTTTAAAAGCTAAAAGATCTAAAAAAAATAAAAAGGCATTGTTGACATGAAACCGAAAGTAACGTCATGACGTCGCTGCGGTCCTCCTAGGCCATAGAGATGAGTGCAGGCCATCTTTCTTTCACTCATCTCTATGTTCAGCTACCTCCAGCCCCGGAGCTCCGGATTGTGCAGGCAAGCCCGGGAACAACCAGAATCTCATCGATGACACCACCAATTAACACCCCAAACTGTGGACAGCTGGATCTTACTCACTTTTCAGAAGTTTTCCCGGCCATCACCTTCAGGACGAGCGGCAGGTCTTCTGCATATCTACACATGGGCCCCGTACCCAGGAGGTCAGCACGGGACCCGTGAGCATTTGGAAACTGACCGTCATTGGGGACAATACCTGCGGGAAAACACAGACTATGACATCATCTCACTAGTATCCTCTGACCTCATAGTGTCCAGTTCTGCCCCCATTGTGTGTCCTCCCCCTGACCCATCCCACACAATGCTTAAAATTCATTCTCAATAAAATGTATAAAAAAAAAAAAAATAATATGATAAATGAAAAAAGAATTCAGTAATAAATTTTGGCCAAAATATATTCTGCTTCGTGTCTTTGCTAAAAAAAAAAAATCCCAATACTGTAAATTAATTGGTTTACGTGAAAGTTATAGAGTCTACAAATGGCGGTATATATACTGGGATTTTTTTTTTTTTTTAAATTTTTACTAGTCGTGGCTGCGATCAGCGATTTACAGCGGGACTGCGGTGGGCATTTTCTTACTGGGGGGGGGGGGGGGGGGTTACTGACTTAGTGTCACTGACATCCCCAGTGACACCAATACAGTGATCAGTGCTAATAAAAAGCATTGACACTGTACTGATGGCACTGGCCAGGAAGGGGTTAACATGAGGGGAAATCAAAGGGTTAACTGTGTGCTGATGGTTCACTATAAGCACACTGCTTTGGATGGCTGTGCGGGAGCTGACAGGGAGGAGAACTGTTTTGTTTACAAACAGTTCTTCCTCCCTGTTGGAGATGCTCATCACCGGCAAGGACCCAGTGATTGACAGCAGCAGCCCCTAAACACACACACACACACACTAGGCCAGACGGGAAGAGTAAGTTAATGACCCCGATGTAATAAACATGACGGCTTAGAGCAGGGGGGTCTCCAAACGGTCTACTACACAAAGGGGCCAGTTTACGGTCTCTCTCTCAGACTTTAGTGGGGGGCTGGACTGTGGCCAGTGGGGGTAGAAAATGTTTCGGCATCAGTGGGAGTCAATGCCCAACCACCAACAATCTTAGATGTCCGCCAGAGGAATCGTGCGCCTACCCCCACCTTTGGCGTCCGGCAGAGGAGTCGCACCCCCTACCGTTGGCGTTCCGGTAGAGGAAAATCGCGCCCCCTACCGTTGGTTCCGGCAGAGGAATAGCACCCCCCACCGTTGGCGTCCACCAGAGGAATAGCACCCGCCACCGTTGGCGTCCGCCAGAGGAATAGCACCCGCCACCGTTGGCGTCCGCCAGAGGAGTCGCGCCCCCTAACGTTGGCATCCGCCAGAGGAAATGCGCGCGCACCCCCCCCCCACCGTTGGCGTCCACCAGAGGAATAGCGCCCCCCACTGTTGGCATCCGCCAGAGGAATCGCACCCCCCCAGCCGTTGGCACCCGCCAGAGGAATCGCACCCCCCCCACCCGTTGGCACCCGCCAGAGGAATCGCCCCCCCCCCACCCGTTGGCACCCGCCAGAGGAATCGCACCCCCCCCCCCCCACACCCGTTGGCACCCCCGCCAGAGGAATCGCACCCCCCCCCACTTTTAATTGGCGTCTGCCAGAAATAGTGCACTTAGTCCCCCCCCAAGGGCCACATCCGGCCCCCAGGCCACAGTTTGGGGACCCCTGCCTTGAAAGTCTGAACTCCGCAGTTATAAAAAACAGGAGCTGCATGGATCTGCGGCTCGGAGATCACGCCAAGAAAATTCTGATTCCTAATTTAGCCGCGCAGAGCAGATTAACATAATCATGGTACTTAAGAGATTGAACCCAAAGACCTGACAGTTCCCAGCCAGCAATCCCCCCCATATCCCACGTCTGAGGCCATATTCTCAGAGTCACTGAAATACAAGTCGGAGTTTGATGATAATTGATGAACACGATCAGGGGCGGACTGACAACTCACGGGGCCCTCGGGCAATAGGGGATCATGGGGCCCCTGTGTCCTTGCCCAAACTCAAAAAAAAAAAAAAAAAAAAAAAAAATGTACCAGGGGCATCTCATGGGGCCCCCTACTGACCCCGGGCCCTCGGGCAGTGCCCACGTTTCCAAATGGTCAGTCTACACCTGAACACGATTATTCCTAACCACAGCGGCCCATTCAGCAGATTTTCTACTTTGCAGTTCTGTTTCCTATCTCCAATGCTCCTTATTTACTGTACTTTTTACCATTAGCCGTTTCCCGACCGCCCTATAGAAGAAATACAGCTACGGGGCGGCAGGTGTGCGCAAAATCACACACAGACACTTGATTTTGCAGTTCCAGGTAGGGGGAGCGCGAGCCCTACCTGCGCCGCCATTCGCGGCCGTCAATCACTGGGTCCCGGCCAGTGATTGCCCACCGGCGCCCGGTGATTACCGAGCATCTCCAACGGGGAGGAGGACGGTTTTGTTTACCCACAGTCCTCCTCCCTGTCAGCTCGGGCGCACAGCACAGCCATCCAGAGCAGTGTGCTTACAGTGAAGCACACAGACACTGCCCCCTAATAAAACACTCCCAGCACACAGTTAACCCTTTGATCGCCTCTCATGTTAACCCCTTCCTGCCCAGTGCCATTAGTACAGTGTCAGTGCTTTTTTTTTTTTTTTTTTAGCACTGATCACTGTATTGGTGTCACTGGGGATGTCAGTGACTCCAAGCCAGTTCCCCCCCAGTGTCAGAATGTCCGCCACAGTTCCGCTAAAAGTCACTGATCGCCGCCATTACTATTAGGAAAAAAAAAATTTCAGTATCTATATCGCCGTTTGTAAACGCTATAACTTTCACGTAAACCAATTCATTTACACGTATTGGGATTTTCTTTTGCAAAGACACGGAGCAGAATAAATTTTGGCCGAAAGTTATGAGGAAATATTTTTACTGGACATGTTTAACCTCCCTGGCGGTCTGATTATGTCCATACTTCTGCGCTCAAAGCGGTACATTTTTTTTGCATGGAAATGTATTTTTTTTATTGTAGGCCTGTAATTTTTGGGAATAACTCACTGAAATCTGTCCGAACAAGAGTCTAGTAAACATCCCGGGGATGATAAAACTTGAAACACGAAATCATAAATTATAATTTAATAAATAATCATAAAAAATAATAATATAATAATAATAAATTTAATTCAATAATATAATCAAACCAAAAACACTGAAATGTGAAATAGAGCGCCAAGTTCGCACATCGCTGAGCAAAGTCGCAGAATAGTTTTCAGTGTCTGATGAGGAATTTCCCCCACCAATCATTATCACTCAATTCTGCAAGTGGTTCTGATTTACTATCGCTGTTCTCTAGCCGGTCTAAAACCGCGTCTGACCTAAAGGGACGCTTTTTGGACGCCATGGACGTTTCTCAGTTTCCAGGCAGAAAGAACAGTAAAAATGCAGGCAGGGCGCCGGACAAAGCACTCGGGACAAAATGTATGTGAAATGGTTTGATACAGGAATGTTATACTATGTGATTTTAGTGAATGTCACTTTTTGTCATTTTCAAATTTCCCGCCAGTTCCGTCCCCCGTACGTCCTAACGCTCACAGGGAACGGAACCCGGAAGACGGATGCCGGGATCGGCCGGAGGACATTACAGGGGACACTGCAGGAGGGACATTGCGGGAGCGCAGGACAAGGTAAGAGAAGAACAGATCCCGGAGCAACGCCGCATGGTATTACCGCTTGTGGTGCTGAAACTTTACCCCGAATTCGGGAATACCGCCAAGGAGTTTAATAGCAAAAAGTCAAAAATATTGTTTTTTTTTCTCAAAATTGTTGGTCTTTGATAGCGAAAAAAAAAAAAAAAAAAAAAAAACAAAAAAACAGAAAAAGGCGATCAAATACCACCGAAAGAAAGCTCAATTTGTGGGGAAAAAAAAGGATGTAAATTTCATTTGGGTGCAGCGTTGCATGACCGCGCAATTGTCAGTTAAAGTAACACAGCGCCGTAACGCAAAAAGTGGTCTGGTCAGGAAGGGGGGGGGGGGGGGGGGGGGGGTATCCTCAGGAGGGCAAGTGGTTAAACAAAAAGGTCACGTTTTTGTATGCATCCCATTCTGAGAAAGCAGCTACATCCCGAGTAGAGAAGCCTGCCCCCTGCCAGCATGCTGCAATGACAGACATCTGCATGGCATACAGAGGTCAGCCATCCCTTGTTAGGTCAGAGCTTCGAGCTCTACAATCAGCGGGTAGCATGTCCTTTGCCGATGGCAGAGGCTTGTCAGATCTGTGCAGAGAGACCACTGTTTCCACACAGAAAAGCACAGGTCCTTCTCTGCAGCTTGCTGACAAGGGACAGGCTTTTCTAGTTAGGCTGCGGCAGCTATTTACAGAAACTGGGCCTCAAAAATACTTTGGTATTTGCGAGATGGTAGTTTAAAGCCCAGTGTCTTTAGAAAGCGGTCATATCCTGAGTGGAAAAGCCTGTCCCCGCCAGCAAACTGCTCTCTGTATGGAAGCAGTGGTTTCTCTGCAGAGGTCCGACATTCCCAGCTAAATCAGAGCCAGGGGCGGACTGACCATTTGGAAACTCGGGCACTACCTGAGGGCCCGGGGTCAGTAGGGAGCCCCATGAGATGCCCCTGGTACCTTTTTCATAGGCTTTTTTGAGTTTGGGCAAGGACACAGGGGCCCCATGATCCCCTAATACCCTGGGGGCCCCAGAAGTTGTCAGTCCGCCCCTGTTCAGAGCTACAGTGCTCCAATAGGCAGGCAGCGCGACCTCTGCGGAGTCACAGCAGAGGTATGTGCAGAGAGACCACTGCTTCCACACGCATGCTTCAGAAATGGGCCTTTACTCCCCGTTGAAGCAGTGGTCTCTGTGCAGATGTCCAGCATGACCCCCGGCTGAGTCAGACCTAGATCTATGCAAAAAAAAACAGGGAACATGGCCTTGCCGATTAGAGAACCCTAGCACCGACTCTGCATTAGGCATCTCTGCAGAGGGACCGCTGCTTCCATAAAAGGGAGCATAGATCCTTCTCTGCAGCATGCTGGCAGGGGGTCAGGCTTCTCTACTCAGCCGGTGTCTGCTGTCTAAGGAAATACCACCTTGCAAACCACATAATGTAACCTACAGACCACCTAGGATACATCCGTAGTCACTGCCAGGTGACAATTCAGAGAACATCAGGTCCTAGGTTTATGTACCCCGCCCTGAAACAGGAATCGAGAAAATCGGGCTAAAAGAGAAAGTCTGTCACCGGCTACATGACCAACAAAAACCTTTGCCCTGTAGTAGAAAGGTTAAACCAACTGCCTGTGACATCGGACTGATTAGGAGATCAATGGCTGACAGGCCATAATGTGCTGAGATACAAAAAAGGAAGAAAAACGCAGAATCTTCACCTGGGGTTGGCTTGTGTCCGTAGACGCCATTAAAAAACGCCGGCATTCGAATACTGCCTCCGATGTCGGAGCCGACCCCGATGACCGATCCGGCGGCCCCCAGTATACAGCCTTCTCCTCCTGTAATACAGATGTTATATATTGGAATTACAGAGAATATTACATTCCGAACTTGTGCTGCTTTATTATTACATTCCTTGTGTTTTATACCATTTATACAATGCGGTATGTTCCCTACGGAGATCAACGATCCGACCGCTTCCCGACCGCCCTGATGCAGAAAGACTGCTACAGGGCGGCACGGGCGCGCAAAATCACATTATATACACACACAAATTATTATATATATATATATATATATATATATATATATATATATATACATACATATATACACACACACACACACACACACACACACACACAATACTATATAATATATATATAAATCTCTCTCTCTCTCTCTCTATATCACACACACTAATATATATATATATATATATATATATATATATATATACATACATATATACACACATACATATATACACACACACACACATACACAATATATATATATATATATCACACATACATACACACAGTTTTGCATCTCCAGGTAGGGGGCGCGCACGCCCTACCCGCGCCCGTCAACCGGGTCCCAGCCAGTAATTACTCGCCAGCGCCGGTGATTTCTGAGCATCTCCAACGGGGAGGAGGACTATTTTGTTTATTAACAGTTCTCTTCTCTGTCAGCTCGGGCACACTGCACAGCACAGCCATCCAGAGCAGTGTGAGTACAGTGAAGCACACAGACACCCACATGGAAGAAAATTATATGTAATACAAGTCATTTTAACATATTTCTACAAACATTTGTAAATGCATTCCAAAAATGTAGATTTGTATTGTTAAAGACATACAGTATATTTGCAAAAAAAAGAAAAAAAAAATATATAATAATAAAATACACACACACACACACACACACACACACACACACACACACACACACACACACTTTGTAATCCAGGTGGTGCCACCACGGATTTTCAAAATTTGCCAACCGCACTTTTAATTTCACCTCATGTTGCTGCATAAAAGAATTTTTCAGGCCAGGTCACAGTTCATGCTCATTTCTTTTTCGATTAGATTTCTCACATCACTGATTAGAAAGTTGTTCGTTTTTCAAAAAAAGTTCCAAACCTGCCCGATCACTCAAAATTTCAATAGCCGCACAAAACAAAAAAAAACGAAAGAAACAAAACAAAAGCAAAAACAAACAAAACAAAAAACAAAAAAACACAAAGCAAAAAACAAAAAGCAAAAAAAAAAAAAAAAAAAAAACAAAAAACAAAAGCAAACCCAAAAAAAAAAAAAACCCAAAACAAACCAAAAAACAAAAACAAAGCAAAACAAAAAAAAAAGTCGGATGCTGCAGCCCACTAATGGTGCGGAATTCGAACGAATATGCTTGGTTTTGATTTTCGAAAGAAAATTTGTTTGTAATTCCACCCATAAACGGCCTGCATTAGTCACTAAAGTGGGACTTTAACCAAAAAAAAAAAAAAAGACACACAAAAGAATGGCAAACAGACAGGATTTTTAATGCAGAAGAGACATATTGGGGGTTATTTACTAAAACTGGAGAGTGCAAAATCCGGTGCAACTCTGCATTGCAACCAATCGGCTTCCAGGTTTTATTGCCAAAGCTTAATTGAACAAACTGAAGTTAGAAGCTGATTGGCTGCCATGTACAGCTGCACCGCATTCTGTGCGCACCAGGTTTAGTAAATCCCCCCTTCCATTGTGTCTCTTCTGCATTAGGTTCCTTACCTGCCTGTAGTCCAGGATGCGCATGCGTAGCTCAAGTGAGCAGCAATGGCGGAATGAACTAATTCCTACAGCTGCGCATGCGCAGGAGTGACACCTCAGCCGGGCCATTGAAAATGCCTGCAGATTAGTACTCGGATGGTGACCGGCCAAAGATGACAGCCGCTGGCGGGAAGCTCCAGGACACCACAGCATCCGATAGAAAAGGCAAGTATGAGCAACCACTGGGCTTGAAGAGAATTCAGCAACTTACCAGAGCTGCCTCCGACTATATGCTGGGGGTTATACGGGTTCCTGGTCTTTCCATAGACATTATTACTAGACTCGTACCACATGCACAGCTCGCTGCAGTTGGTGACACCAAGAGGAATGGCTCCAGCTGCCTTTAATCTTGACACTACAACCGCGTCCGTAGTTGAGCGCAATGATCGTCTAGATATCAGCCCAGAGCTTTGCGGCATGCCTAAAAATAAGCAAAATGTTTAAAAAAAAAAATCTAGGAAAAAAAAAAAATGCACATCACCATGGCTGATCCAACTAGCTACCAATGAACAACCTGCCAAAGTCTTCCTCATTAAAGAATCCATTATCAAGTCTTCATATGTATCAAACCCTGATGAAGGGGGGTGATGCTTCAGCCCCCGAAACATGTTGGCTTTGTATAGAATCCTTGGGATTTCACATTGGATTGGTGCCTGGACTTCATGGTGTGGACACTTCAATTCTCTGTCAAAGCCCAAGGCAGCCTTTCTCGACCTTTACCCCAGAGGAACCCCTAAAATAAATTTTCTGGTTTTGTTGAAACCTTACCCAAACCATTTCATCAGGTGCCAATGGCAAAACTGCCCCTTACTATGGTGGTCAACAGAAGGAATGCAAGCTTTACAGTGGAGGTCACAACGCCACCCTCAAACAACTTAAAAGATATTTGGTGTCATGTTGGTGGCTCTTCCAAGTGACATTAGTCCTGGAATTATCTAGGCACCATTGAATTGGAGGTCGATCAGCCACAGCTCAGGGAAGCAGTACTAACCTCTGGAGAAACCCTAGTGGAGAATGGCTGGCCTATGGTGACCATGAAAGCTCTTTGCCTTTTGAATTATCTGGGTACCATCCAATGGAAGCCCAATCAGCCACAGCTCAAGGAAGCACCACTACCTCTGGAGGAATCCTAGCTGAGAATGGCTGGCCTATGGTGACCATGAAAGCTCTTTGCCTCTGGAATTATCTGGGCACCATCCAATGGGAGCCCGATCAGCCAGAGCTCAAGGAAGCACCACTACCTCCGGAGGAATCCTAGTTGAGAATGGCTGGCCTATGGTGACCATGAAAGCTCTTTGCCTCTGGAATTATCTGGGCACCATCCAATGGGAGCCCAATCAGTCGCAGCTCAAGAAAGCACCACTACCTCCGGAGGAATCCTAGTTGAGAATGGCTGGCCTATGGTGACCATAAAAGATCTTTGCCTTTGGAACTAACTATCTAGGCACCATCAAATGGGAGCCCAATCAGCCACAGCTCAAGGAAGCACCATTACCTCCAGAGGAATCCTAGCTGAGAATGGCTGGCCTATGGTGACCATGAAAGTTCCAAAGGCAAAGATCTTTCATGGTCACCATAGGCCAGCCATTCTCAACTAAGGTTTCTCTAGAGCTTTGTAAGGGGTTCCTTGAGCTGTAGCTGATTGACCTCCCATTTGATGGTGCCTAGATAGTTCCAAAGGCAAAGATCTATCTAGGCACCATCAAATGGGAGGTCAATCAGCTACAGCTCAAGGAACCCCTTACAAAGCTCTAGAGAAACCTTAGTTGAGAATGGCTGGCCTATGATGACTTTGAAAACCCTTTGGCATGCAAAAGCCACCAACTTAGTGTCCAAACATGCAGATTTTAGCATATCCACACTATTGGACAGTAGTAAGACGACATTTAGTGGTTAGATGCCATCTACCCATCTCTTCATGCAAATCAGCATGGAAGCAATATAACGTATCAATGGCAAGCTGTACCTACCTTGTAAGGAAAATGCTTCCTTCACCGATACAGGGACACCAAGAAGAGGGTACTTGTCTTTAATCGTTGCTTCGTCCTCTGCCTTGGAAGCCACTAAATCATCTACTGCCCGTGCCTCACAAAGGGCTTCCTCAAAACGGTCACACACTAAGGCATTGAGAGCGGGGTTCACCTCTCTGATCCTGGAGATAAAGGCCTGCACCACAACACTGCTCTTTAGCTGAAAAGAGATACGAACAAAAATCGGGAAGTCAATTGTTATCTTTTGGAATATTACTCTATGAAAAACATATTAACACCATGTTAGAAGCTTGTGGGATTTTGGAATCTCTGGGCCATCTGTATGACAAGGGTCAAGGCACGGAGTCACAGAGCACCCCACATGTGGGCTTTTCTGCAGGACAACTCCAAGGTTACAGCCCTAGGACACGTCCATGCAGAAGGCAGCTGAACGGGGAAAGAATCAGAACAAAGTATTAAATTGATAAGCAATCTCAGAAATGGGACCAAAGGTCGGGGCAGGCAGAAGACACGCATGTTCAGATACAGGATTAAGGTCAAAAACTGAAAACATGGGAACTTGGCAACACCAGAAGTCAGGGACACTCAAGCTGGAGACAGTGGGAAACTTGGGGGTAGGGTCACTAGAGGCACAGAGACAATGGGGTCACAGGAAAGTACAGATATCAGTTGGGCTCTAAGATTCTAAGTTTCCAGGAACACAGAAGAGGTCTCTTGCACACTGGGGTGCTGGGAACACAGGAGTGGGGGAAACACAGAATCACGGGTAACACCATTTTGCAGGGATCACTGGAGGCGCAGGACTTTTCGGAGATACGGGAACTAGGGGGTCACTCAGAATTCTTGGAACAGCCTGAGTCTAGGAACACAACCTGCTGCTCTACCATTGGATGGTGGCTGAGCATAGTTTAAATATAGGAGATAGAATGGGAGGATAAACAGGAAGTAGCCATGGGGGGAGACTTGGTCTTTATCTGCTTTTTCACTTACAGGTCCCTTCCCCATCCTGTGACCAGACAGTGAAAGGAGAAGCAGCCCACTATAGATCCAGACTCTCTGCTCTCTCCTCCTATCAGCATGCTCCTTGCACTGCTGTACACCTGATTGGCTTCTTGTGTTGCATCTCCCGCCCCTCAAGAGAACGTTGAAAGTCAAACCAAAGTCAAGTCAAGGACTTTTCTCTACTGCAGTTAGAGACACAGACAATTTGCTGTGATTGGGCGAAGTGACAGTCTTCGTGAGGGACCCACCACCCTTTTCCCACATCCCTGATGCTCACCTTGCCAGTGCTCTCCTGTTGCTTTATTCTAAAACCCCCAGTGCGGGCTCATGGTGGGTGTTAAGGGAGTGGTGATGTCGCTCCCTCCGTCAGCTGATAGTGCTCAAGTCTAGTGATTGGCTGCTAGACCTGGGCACCGCCACTGGGGAGGAGGTCACTGGCTCCTCCATGCTCTCTTGCAATGTTGCTGGATTGTGACAAAGTAAGGAGCTCATGGGGGCCTTTACAAAGACACTGTCCCTTTGCCTTGAACGGGTTGAGGACGTTGAGGTTCTCCTAACTTGACATAGTTAGGGGCCTTGGGATTGGCTGCTAAGCCCAAGTTACTATATCATGGGAGGGGATCACATATTCCATACCTGGAAGTACGGGGTATTTTGCAGCAGCTCTAAAAGCAAAAATTTGAGTGGTGAGGAGTGCGCAAAATTATGAGTATTAGTTGATTAAAGGGTGAGCTTTAATGAACAAGTAAGAAGCAGGCACGAGGAGCGGAACCGAGAGGGGCCAGCGAAAAGCAAGCACGAGGAGCAGAACCGAGAGGGGCCAGCGAAAAGCAAGCACGAGGAGCGGAACCGAGAGGGGCCAGCGAAAAGCAAGCACGAGGAGCAGAACCGAGAGGGGCCAGCGAGAAGCAGGCACAAGGAGCGGAACCGAGCAGGCCAAGCGAGAAGAGAAACCGAGAGGGGCAAGCTAGAAGCAGGCACGAGGAACGGAACCGAGAGCGGCAAGCAAGAAGCGGAAGCGAGAGGGGCCAGCGAGAAGCAGGCACGAGGAACAGAACCTTGCGGGCCAAGAGAGAAGCAGGCACGAGGAACGGAACCGAGCGGGCCAAGCGAGAAGCAGGCACGAGGAACGGAACCGAGCGGGCCAAGCGAGAAGCAGGCACGAGGAACGGAACCGAGCGGGCCAAGCGAGAAGCAGGCACGAGGAACGGAACCGTGCGGGCCAAGCGAGAAGCAGGCACGAGGAACGGAACCGTGCGGGCCAAGCGAGAAGCAGGCACGAGGAACGGAACCGAGCGGGCCAAGCGAGAAGCATGCACGAGGAACGGAACCGAGCGGGCCAAGCGAGAAGCAGGCACCAGGAGCGGAACCGAGCGGCCAAGCGAGAAGCAGGCACCAGGAGCGGAACCGAGCGGCCAAGCGAGAAGCAGGCACCAGGAGCGGAACCGAGCGGCCAAGCGAGAAGCAGGCACCAGGAGCGGAACCGAGCGGCCAAGCGAGACGCAGGCACCAGGAGCGGAACCGAGCGGCCAAGCGAGACGCAGGCACCAGGAGCGGAACCGAGCGGCCAAGCGAGAAGCAGGCACCAGGAGCGGAACCGAGCGGCCAAGCGAGAAGCAGGCACCAGGAGCAGAACCGAGCGGCCAAGCGAGAAGCAGGCACCAGGAGCGGAACCGAGCGGCCAAGCGAGAAGCAGGCACCAGGAGCGGAACCGAGCGGCCAAGCGAGAAGCAGGCACCAGGAGCGGAACCGAGCGGCCAAGCGAGAAGCAGGCACCAGGAGCGGAACCGAGCGGCCAAGCGAGAAGCAGGCACCAGGAGCGGAACCGAGCGGCCAAGCGAGAAGCAGGCACCAGAAGCGGAACCGAGCGGCCAAGCGAGAAGCAGGCACCAGGAGCGGAACCGAGCGGCCAAGCGAGAAGCAGGCACCAGGAGTGGAACCAAGCACCAGGACTGGAACCGAGCAGGCCAAGCAAGAAGCAGTGTGAATGTCTCTGACCAAACAATCAGAAACAGACTTCATGAGGGTGGCCTGAAGGCCCAACGTCCTCTAGTGGGCCCTGTGCTCACTGTCCGGCACCATAGAGCTGGATTGGTAGTTGCCATTGAATCCCAGAATAGTCATTTTCACAGATGAGAGCAGGTTCCCCCTGAGCACATGTGACAGACATGAAAGGGTCTGGAGAAGCCGTGGAGAACGTTCTGCTGCCTGTAACATGGTTCAGCATGACCATTTTGGTGGTGGGTCAGTGATGGTCTGGGGGGGCATATCCATGGAGGGACGCACAGACCTCTACAGGCTAGACAATGGCACCCTGACTGTCATTAGGTATCGGGATGAAATCCTTAGACCCATTGTCAGACCCTACACTGGTGCGGTGGGTCCTGGGTTCCTCCTGGTGCAGGGGGTCCTGGGTTCCTCCTGGTGCAGGGGGTCCTGGGTTCCTCCTGGTGCAGGGGGTCCTGGGTTCCTGCTGGTGCAGGGGATCCTGGGTTCCTGCTGGTGCAGGGGATCCTGGGTTCCTGCTGGTGCAGGGGATCCTGGGTTCTGCTGCTGGTGCATAACAATGCTTGGCCTTATGGGGAGAGTATGCAGGCAGTTCCCGGAGGATAAAAGAATTGATACCATTGAATGGCCCCCACACTCTCCTGACCTAAACCCAATAGAACACTTCCGGGATGTCATTTTCAGTCCATCCGACGCTGCCAGGTTGCACCTCAGACTGTCCAGGAGCTCAGTGATTCCCTGGTCCAGATCTGGGAGGAAATCCCCCAGGACACCATCCGTGGTCTCATTAGGACCCTCCCCTGACGTTGTCAGGCATACATACAAGCACGTGGGGGCCACACAGACTACTGAGGACCATTCTGAGTTGCTGCAATGAAAATTCAGCCAAATGGACTCGCCTGCTGCATCATTTTTTCATTGTATTTTCGGGGTGTCTTTGAATTCAGTCCTCTGTAGGTCGATCATTTTAATTTCCATCAAACGATGGGGCGTCCTTACGTTCCTCACACATTACCCCGTCCATATCAGTATAGAGATCCAGCAGGAGATATTTCCCCATTGAAATCTGATGGATTTTCTTCATTTATTTTTTTGAGCAGTATATACACACGGAGTGGAAAATGCATTTATTCGACATACTCCCCTGCTACATTTATACACCTACCCCACTGTTTACCAATGCCTGGAGAGTGTCAGTACACCGGAACCATCCTAGGAGAGCCGGCTAGCAGAGTCTCCTTATGTCAGTGACCCCATCAGAGCCCCCCTTACATCAGTGATCCCATCAGAGTCCTCCATACATCAGTGACTGGTAATCACTGGCCGGGACCTTGTGATTGAGAGCCACGGCGCGTGTAGGGCGCGCATCCCCTACCTTGAAATGAAAAATCACACACACACACACACACACACACACGTATGTGAACCCCTTGGGATTATGTGGAGTTTTGCATGAATTGGGCATAAAATGTGCTCTGAACGTCATCTAAGTCACAACAATAGAAGAATTTCTAATGAATTCCAGAGTTTATCAAGACATTTTGCAGGAAAACGTACGACCATCTGTCCGCCAACTGAAGCTCCGCAGAGGATGGGTGAGGCAACAGGACAATGACCCAAAGCATACAAGTCATTCAACAAAACAATGGCTGCAACAGCACAGAATACGCCTTCTGGAGTGGCCCAGTCAGAGTCCTGACCTCAACCCAATTGAAATGCTGTGGCATGACCTTAAGAGAACGATTCACACCAGACATCCCAAGAATATTGCTACACTGAAACAGTTTTGTGAAGAGGAGTGGTCCAAAATGACTCCAGATCGTTGTGCAGGTCTGATCTGCAACTACAGGAAACGTTTGGTTGAGGTTATTGCTGCCAAAGGAGGGTCAACCAGTTATTAAGTCCAAAGGTTCACATACTTTTTCCTCCCTGCACTGTGAATGTTTACATGTTATGTGCAATTAAACCATGGCAACATCTAATGTTTGTGTAGTATTATGTTCAGCAGACTGTGTTCTTCTATTGTTGTGACTTAGATGACGTTCAGAGCACATTTTATGCCCAATTCATGCAAAACTCCACACACACATACATATATACACAAGCACCCGTGCCGTGATTTTGCGCACCTGTGCCGCCCTCTAGCAGGATTTCTGCTATAGGGCAGATGGGAAGCAGTTAAGTAATGACAAAGTTATCACCAAATAAACAGGTCCATAGCAGATATTTAAAAATTGTCCATAGGGGGGTGAACAGGTGTGAGAGCTGAAGTAGTTAAGGAGCGGGGACGCAGCACCCTTAGCAACCGATGCCTCGTTCAGCTCTCAGTGGGGTTCCCCTGCTGACGGCTGAAGTGTAGACAAAACAGCTGCCAGAAGGTATCAGTAACAGGTATTGGCGAGTGCAAAAAAAAAAAAAAAAAATAATAATAATATGGTGTTGGTGCATCCCTACCAGGCACTGTGGGAGACGTGGGGTCTGGGGTACACTATGGGACACTCCAGATAAAGTGCGGCGCTAAAATCATACAAATAGTCTATAGATGAATCAACATAAAATGGACATAGACATCAATTGCTGATGAAAGTTCATAAGGTGAGTAAAGTGCTCAAAAAATCATCATGCGTCTTCCTGGGCCTGGTGGACATATAAGTGTATAAGCAATGCGCACTCACCAGAAAGCGCATGTAAATGCGCATTAGTAGTGATTTGATGGCATCTAATAGTCATCATGGGATGATAGCAGGAATCCTAATTCAATTTAGGAATTTCAACAATTTAGGATTCCTGCTATCATCCCATGATGACTATTAGATGCCATCAAATCATTACTAATGCGCATTTACATGCGCTTTCTGGTGAGTGCGCATTGCTTATACACTTATATGTCCACCAGGCCCAGGAAGACGCATGATTTTTTTTGCACTTTACTCACCTTATGAACTTTCATCAGCAATTGATGTCTATGTCCATTTTATGTTGATTCATCTATACTATTTGTATGATTTTAGCGCCGCACTTTATCTTCATTTGTATTGAAGGTTTTGTTTGGTTACCTTATGCTTGGCTGCTTTTTTATTTACTTTTTCCATCACTCATTATCTTGCTTACGCAGTACCTTTAGGCGCTCACATTTACCCATATTTCCTATACTATGGGACACTGTTGGGGGCACTATGGGGGGCTGGAGGATCTGCAGCAGCAAGCGAGTACAGCAGGGGGCTGGGGATACTTTGGGAGACTGAGAAGCACTGTGAGGGCTATCAGGGGCCTGAGGGCACAGTGGGAGATCGAAGGGCACTGCGGCCCACTGCGGGTGGCTGGGTAGCACTGTGCCTGATCCCCGACTCCTGTACTCTGTATGTTACCTACTCCTGGCCCCTGCACTCTGACGATTACACAGTCCCTGCATTATGTACACACTCCTAGCCCCTGCGCCCTGTACATTACACACGCCTGTCCCCTGCGCCCTGTACATTACACACGCCTGTCCCCTGCACCCTGTACATTGCACACGCCTGTCCCCTGCACATCGCACACAACTGTCCCCTGCACCCTGTACAGTGCACACGCCTGTCCCCTGCACATTGCACACAACTGTCCCCTGCACCCTGTACATAGCACCCGCCTGTCCCCTGTACATTGCACCCGCCTGTCCCCTGCACACACATGTGCTCTGCACATTACACACGCCTGTCCCCTGCACCCTGTACATTGCACACGCCTGTCCCCTGCACCCTGTACATTGCACACTCCTGTCCCCTGCACATTGCACACGCCTGTCCCCTACACCCTGTACATTGCACACGCCTGTCCCTTGCACATTACACATGCCTGTCCCCTGCACCCTGTACATTACACACGCCTGTCCCCTGCACTCTGCATGTTACCCATTCCTGACCATTACATACAGTACACACGCCTGACCTCCATGCCCTGTACATTACATATGCCTGTCCCTTGCTCTTTGTATGCTATCCATTCCTGACCCCTGCATTATGTACATCACACACTTCTGATCCCTGCACATTACACACACCCCCATCCATACCCTGACCCCCATCCATCACGCACACATACATACCTGACCCCCCAAGCCCTGTACATTATATACCCCTGCACTCTGTATGCTACCCATTCCTGACCCCTGAATTATGTACATACTCCTGTCCCCTGCACATTACACACTCCTGACCCCTGTTACCTATTCCTGACCCTGAATTATGTACATTACATACTCCTGACCCCTGTACATCACACACTAGGGCCCCCCTCACACCACATGTTACCTATCCTGACCCCCCCTGTACATCACACCACTAGGGCCCCCCTGCACTCTGTATGTTACCTATTCCTGACCCCTGTAATCACACACCCCTGACCCCACATTACACACTCCTGCCCCTGTACATCCACCTGGCCCCCTGCATTATGTACATTGTATGTTACCTATTCCCCTGCACTGTACATCGCACACTCCTGACCCCTGCACTCTGTATGTCACCTATTCCTGAACCTGTACATCACACACTCCTGACCCCTGCACTCTGTATGTTACCTATTCCTGAACATCGCACACACTCCTGACCCCTGCACTCTGTATGTCACCTTATTCCTTTCCCCTGAATTACGTACATCGCACACTCCTGACCCCTGCACTCTGTATGTTACCTATTCCTGACCCCGGAACTATGTCCTTTAACCCCTCCCCCCCACACACTGTATAGCACACAATTCGGACCTCCGCATTGTGTACGTTATAGACACATACATGACCCGGGTGCTCTGTACAAGTCTGTAACCCCTCCCACAATGTTGTCACAGCCAATCACCTCCTTCCCCTCCGCCTGTTCAGGTCCTGTCAGATAGGCTGTTTGGTATCTACGTGCTCGGTGCAGCCTCATCTGTCATACTCTGTGGGGTACTTGTGCGCCCGGAATGGAACTTCAGTATGTGATTACCGGAACCTCGGTGTTGATGAACTGTTGGCGCCAATATTGCGCGACATGAAAATTTGTGACTACCGCCATTTTATTCTCCAGGGTCAGAAAATATTTTTTTTTGGGGAGGGGGATGGGTTAAGCAATTGTCACACCTAATTTTTTTTTTTTTTTACATGTGAGCAAAAACCTGCTTGCATACGGTCACTCTGTCGTCCTCGGTTGCGCCCTATTGGTGGACCCCCCAAAACTGTGACCGGCCCATCATCAAACGCCATCACTGATTGGACGGGCTGCCAACAACTTCATCACTGCCCGGCCAATCACTGAAAATGAATTGAGGCCCCTCCCACTGGTCTCCGCCCATTTAAAGGGGGGTTTAAATCCAGGAAACCGAAAGCTGGGCGGTAATGGAGGGGTTAATCTGGATGGGGTCACATGACCGGCCCCGTGAGGGGGGGGGTCCACCCGGAAGCAGCTCACCTCTCCTCTCCGGATCTTCTCCGCCAGCCCCGTGGCCGGGATGAGCAGCAGCGGGTCACGGGGCGGTCCCGGGGTCGGGGGGTCCCGGGAGAAAAAGGAGGCGGCCCGGACCAGGAGCAAGAAGAGCTGGGAGAAGGTCCGCAGGAGGAGCGCCACCACTCGGCGCAGGACGGCCATTGCAATGTACTGACACCGCCCGGAGAGCACCGCAGAACCGAGAGTCCGATCCCGACTGAGGGCGGGGAGAGACGTTATATACTACCAGTCAGCCAGAGCTCACACTACGGGGGCGTGTCCGCTCTCAGGACAGCCGCCGGTTGGAGGAGAGGAGCGTGGGCGGGGTTAGGGAGGAGCCCCCGTTGTCGCTGTCAAGCTGCGTGTCCCCATTTCCGCCACTGGAGGCGCTGCTCTACAATTACTGCAAAGGATGATTGGACTCTTAAAGTGACAGTACACTCTGACAGCTGGAATCCGGCATCCCTCCTCTGCTGCCGGCGGAATCCGGCATCCCTCCTCTGCTGCTGGCGGAATCCGGCATCCTTCCTCTGCTGCTGGCGGAATCCGGCATCCTTCCTCTGCTGCTGGCGGAATCCGGCATCCTTCCTCTGCTGCTGGTGGAATCCGGCATCCCTCCTCTGCTGCTGGCGGAATCCGGTATCCCTCCTCTGCTGCGGCGGAATCCGGCATCGCTCCTCTGCTGCCGGCGGAATCCGGCATCCCTCCTCTGCTGCTGGCGGAATCCGGCATCCTTCCTCTGCTGCTGGCGGAATCCGGCATCCCTCCTCTGCTGCTGGCGGAATCCGGCATCCCTCCTCTGCTGCTGGCGGAATCCGGCATCCCTCCTCTGCTGCTGGCGGAATCCGGCATCGCTCCTCTGCTGCTGGCGGAATCTGGCATCACTCCTCTGCTGCTGGCGGAATCCACCATCGCTACTCCGCTGCTGGTGGAATCCAGCATCCTTCCTCTGCTGCCGGCGGAATCCGGCATCCCTCCTCTGCTGCTGGCGGAATCCACCATCGCTACTCCGCTGCTGGTGGAATCGGCAGCATCCTTCCTCTGCTGCCGGCGGAATCCGGCATCCCTCCTCTGCTGCCGGACATCGCTCCTCTGCTGCTGGCGGAATCTGGCATCACTCCTCTGCTGCTGGCAGAATCCGGCATCCCTCCTCTGCTGCTGGCGGAATCCGGCATCCTTTCCCTGCTGCTGGCGGAATCCACCATCGCTACTCCGCTGCTTGTGGAATCCAGCATCCTTCCTCTGCTGCTGGCGGAATCCACCATTACTCCGCTGCTGGTGGAATCTGGCATCGCTCCTCCGCTGCTGGCGGAATCCGACATCGCTCCTCCACTGCTGCCGGAATCCACCATCGCTCGTCCGCTGCTGGCAGAATCCGGCATTGCTCGTCCGCTGCTGGTAGAATCCGGTATCGCTCCTCTGCTGCTGGCAGAATCCGGCATCGCTCCTCTGCTGCTGGCAGAATCCGGCATCGCTCCTCAGCTTCTGGCGGAATCCACCATCGCTCCTCAGCTGCTGGCGGAATCCACCATCGCTCCTCCGCTGCTTGCGGAATCCGGCATCATTCCTCCGCTGCTGGCAGAATCCACCATCGCTCCTCCACTGCTGGCAGAATCCACCATCGCTTCTCCACTGCTGGCGGAATCCGGCATCGCTCCTCTGCTGCTGGCAACCATTCTAGAAATCTACAAATTATTCTTTCTTTTTTTTTTTTAACTTCCTGTTAGAGGGTGGCTACCAACTGCCTATGGTTCCCCTGTATGTTGGAAGGTAGTCACCCTCTCTCGGTCCCGAGATGGCAATGGTTCCTTTTGGAAATTTTCAGGCCAAGCCACCTTAGAGCATTCTGCACAATCTCAGTGAGCGGTATGTTGCGGCAGGGAGGTCAGTGAGCGGTACGTAGCGGCAGGGAGGTCAGTGAGCGGTATGCAGCGGCAGGGGAGGTCAGTGAGCGGTATGCAGCGGCAGGGCGGTCAGTGAGCGGTATGTAGCGGCAGGGGGCGGTCTGTGAGCTGTATGTAACGGCAGGGGAGGTCAGTGAGCGGTATGTAACGGCAGGGGAGGTCAGTGAGCGGTATGTAGCGGCAGGGGAGGTCAGTGAGCGGTATGTAACGGCAGGGGAGGTCAGTGAGCGGTATGTAACGGCAGGGGAGGTCGGTGAGCAGTATATAGCGGCAGGGGAGGTCAGTGAGCGGTATGTAGCGGCAGGGGAGGTCAGTGAGCGGTACGTTGCGGCAGGGAGGTCAGTGAGCGGTACGTAGCGGCAGGGAGGTCAGTGAGCGGTACGTAATGGCAGGGGAGGTCAGTGAGCGGTATGTAGCGGTAGGGCGGTCAGTGAGCGGTACGTAGCGGCAGGGCGGTCAGTGAGCGGTACGTAGCGGCAGGGAGGTCAGTGAGCGGTACGTAGCGGCAGGGCGGTCAGTGAGCGGTACGTAGCGGCAGGGCGGTCAGTGAGCGGTACGTAGCGGCAGGGGAGGTCAGTGAGCGGTACGTAACGGCAGGGGAGGTCAGTGAGCGGTATGTAGCGGCAGGGCGGTCAGTGAGCGGTACGTAGCGGCAGGGCGGTCAGTGAGCGGTACGTAGCGGCAGGGCGGTCAGTGAGCGGTATGTAGCAGCAGGGCGGTCAGTGAGCGGTATGTAGCGGCAGGGCGGTCAGTGAGCGGTATGTAGCAGCAGGGAGGTCAGACGGGTTTCTTCTCTGCAGCATGCTGGCAGGGGACAGGCTTTTCTACTCCAGCTGTGGCTGCTTTCTCAAGAAATCATATTGCACATTTTTTCCTTGTTGCACCCGGAAGTCTGAAACTGAAAGTCCGATTGGGCCGGACTGTGCCGGAAGTGACGGCGAGTTTTTCTTTTTATTGTAACACTCGGCACATAACTCCCAGCAATGGAAATGCCGAATGTTTCTGCTCCGGTGATCTTTCCTTTCAGTGTATTATTACATTTCTGTCTTTATCTGATGGAAAGCGGCTTCTTATCTCTTTGTGACAGAGAGTGTCAGGAATAACCGATTTATATTTCAAGGACTCCGAGATATGAGGGGGAAAGTGATCACAATGTGTTCAGCAGAGTTTAACTGTTTGCCCGCCGCCCTATAGCGGATGTACTGATACAGAGCAGCATGGCTGCGCAAAGTCACGTGATTTTGCATTTCCAGGTAGGGGCCATTGGCGGCCTCAGCTGTCGATCACCGGGTCCCAGCCAGTGATTCCCCGCCAGCACCCACCCGGCGATCACCGAGTATCACCGACGAGGGGAGAGAGCTGTATGTAAACAATACTGATCTCTCGCCTGTCAGCTCCTGCATACTGCTTTGTATGGCTCTGCATAGAGCCATAAAAAGTCAAAAATATTGTTTTTTTTTTTCTCAAAATCGTCGGCCTTTTTTATAGTGCAAAAAATAAAAAACACACAGGCGATCAAATTTATGAGGAAATTTAAATTTTTTTTACTGGACATGTTTAATAGCAAAAAGTCAAAAATATTGTTTTTTTCTCAAACTTTTCGGTCTTTTTTTTTTTTTTTTTTATAGTGCAAAAATGTAAAAAATGCACAGGCGATCAAATACCACCGAAAAAAAGCTCTATTCATGGGGGAAAAAAAAGGACGGAAACTTAATTTGGGTGCAGCGTTGCATAACTGCGCAATTGTCAGTTAAAGTAACGTAGCGCTGTATCGCAAAAAATGGCCTGGTCAGGAAGGGGGGGGGGGGGGGGTAAATCCTCTGGAGGGCAAGGGGTTAAAGTTAAAAACGTGGTTTGTTTTTTTAAAAAAAAACGATCAGCCATATATTTATTGTACATTCACATTAGTCCCTAACCCTCAAGGGGTGTACAATCTGAGGGCCCTAACCTACATTACACAGGATTTATTTAGCGCCAACAGTTTGCTCAGCGCTTTACAATATAACAGGAGACAATATAGCAACAATACAGTTCAATACAAGAGGGATAGGAGGGCCCTGATCCTGGGAGCTTACAATCTAAGAGGGAGGGGCTAGTGGTACAAAAGGTAATAACTGTGGGGGATGGACTGGTAGGAGGAATAGAAGATTCCATTATTAGCTGAGGGCAGGATAGGCTTCCCTGAAGAGAGAGGTTTTCAGAGATCGCCTAAAAGTGGGCAGAGTAGGCGATAGTCTGATAGATTGGGGTAGAGAGTTCCAGAGGATGGGGGAGCTCTGGAGATGTGCTGGAGAGGAGCATGGGAGGAGGAGACAAGGGAACTAGAGAGCAGGAGGTTGTAGGAGGAGCGGAGAGGACAGTTTGGGTGATATTGGGAGACAAGATTGGTGTTGTAATTTGGGGCGGAGTTATAAATGGCTTTATATGTTATTGTTATTGTTTTTGAATTTTATTCATTGGGCAATGGGAAGCCAGTGGAGGGATTGGCAGAGAGGGATGAAGGATACTGAGTGGAGGTCAGTGGAGGGATTGGCAGAGAGGGATGGAGGATACCGAGTGGAGGTCAGTGGAGGGATTGGCAGAGAGGGATGGAGGATACCGAGTGGAGGTCAGTGGAGGGATTGGCAGAGAGGGATGGAGACACCGAGGAGGTCAGTGGAGAGGATTGGCAGAGAGGGATGGAGGATACCGAGTGGAGGTCCGTGGAGGGATTGGCAGAGAGGGGTGGAGGACACCGAGTGGAGGTCAGTGGAGGGATTGGCAGAGGGGTGGAGGACACCGAGTGGAGGATTGGCAGAGAGGGGTGGAGGATACTGAGTGGAGATCAGTGGAGGGATTGGCAGAGAGGGGTGGAGGACACTGAATGGAGGCCAGTGGAGGGATTGGCAGAGAGGGGTGGCAGATACAGAACGGTTAGTAAGGTGGATGAGTCTGGCAGCAGCATTCATGATAGACTGAAGAGGGGATAGCCTGCGATGAGGTCGGCCAATGAGGAGGGAGTTACAATAGTCATGGGGAGATATAACAAGGGAGTGAATAAGTTGCTTAGTGGTTTCCGAGGTTAGGAACGGGCGTATCTTGGAGATGTTGCGGAGGTTGGAAGTCTGAAGTCTACAAGATTTGGACAGTGATTGGATTGGGGCTGAAAGGACAGATGGGAGTCTAGGATCACACCTAGTACCCTGGCATGAGGGGAGGGACTGATGGTTGTATTATTGATCTTGATGGAGAAGTCAGGGGGGGGGGGGCCCGGGCTGGAGGGAATAGTATGAGCTCAGTTTTGGAAAGATTGAGTTTGAGGAAGTGGAGTGACATCCATGCCGATATGTCACTTAGTAGGTTAGTAATACGAGAGGAGACTGAAGGGGGTGAGGTGAGGAGGAGACTGAAGGGGTGAGGTGAGGAGGAGACTGAAGGGGTGAGGTGAGGGGTAGAAAGATAGATTTGTGTGTCATCAGCATAGAGATGGTACTTAAAGCCATGGGAGTTTATCAAGTGACCAAAGGAGGAGGTGTAGATGGAGAAGAGTAGGGGCCCAAGGACGAATCTTGAGGGACCCCTACAGAAAGAGGGAGTGGAGAAGAGGAGACCTAGTTATAGGTAACGCTGCGATAGGAGGAGAACAAGGAGAGAGCAGAGTCTCGGAGGCCAAGAGAGTGGAGTTTTTTGTGGGGGAGGGGATGGTCAACAGTATCAAAGGCCGCAGAGAGGTCAAGTAGTAAGAGTACGGAGTAGTGGCCGTTGGTTGGGATGAGTACGGAGTAGTGGCCGTTGGTTGGGATGAGTACGGAGTAGTGGCCGTTGGTTGGGATGAGTACGGAGTAGTGGCCGTTGGTTGGGATGAGTACGGAGTAGTGGCCGTTGGTTGGGATGAGTACGGAGTAGTGGCCGTTGGTTGGGATGAGTACGGAGTAGTGGCCGTTGGTTGGGATGAGTACGGAGTAGTGGCCGTTGGTTGGGATGAGTACGGAGTAGTGGCCGTTGGTTGGGATAGGAGTACGGAGTAGTGGCCGGGTTGGTTGGGATGAGTACGGAGTAGTGGCCGTTGGTTGGGATGAGTACGGAGTAGTGGCCATTGGTTTGAGGCAGTTAGGACAAATCATTAGTGAGCTTTAGTAGGGCAGTTTCAGTGGAATGGAGTGAGCGAAAGCCAGACTGTAAAGGGTCAAGAAGGTTGTTGTTGGTGAGATAGGAGCTAAGGCGATTGTAGACTAAGCGTTCCAAGAGTTTAGAGTTGAACGGGAACAGGTTGTTCAGGTTGGTGGGGTCCAGTGTGGACTTTTTAATTATGGGAGTGATGTGCTCATGCATTAGAGGGAGGGGAAGGCACCATTAGAGAGGGAGAGATTGAAGATGTGAGTGAGGGAGCATGAATGGAGGAATTGTGCTGTGAACATAGGACAGAAGAAGAGGGTGACCATAGTAGTCGTGAGGGGACAGGATCCAGGGGGCAGGTAGTGAGACGGGCTTCTGAGAAAAAAACCTTAGTGACCTCTCCAGTAGTAGGAAGGTCAGAAGAGGAAAGTGTTGAGGGAGGTTTAGTATAAGGTATGCTAAGTGGGATGGATGTCTGTGTAGCGGAGATGCCCCTACAAATTGCATCAATCATGTTTTTGAAAGGATTGGCAATCTCGTAAGCAGTGAGTGAGGTACTGGGTGGAGGTGGACAAAGTAGAGAAGAGACGACGAGAAGTGGATGACAAGGTATTGATGAGAGTGACAAAGTAGGCTTGTTTGGCAGCATGAAGGGAGGAATTGTATGTGAAGAAAGTAGACTTTTATATCGGGTGAAAGCTTGGTGGGATTTGGTTTTTACACCACAATCGCTCCAGCGCACGACTGTCTCCTAAGATTTCTGGTGTCATCAGTCTGCCATGGTTGTAATGGTCGAGGCCTTAGACTTGTAATAAACCCAAAACTGGTAGTGGTCTTCTTGAGGAGCTGTCAGCAACTTCATGTACAGTTGCAAGAAAAAGTATGTGAACCCCTTGGGATTACGTGGAGTTTTGCATGAGTTGGGCATAAAATGTGTTCTGAACATCATCTAAGTCACAACAATAGAAGAACACAGTCTGCTGAACATAATACTACACAAACATTAGATGTCGCCATGGTTTAATTGCACATACCATGTAAACATTCACAGTGCAGGGAGGAAAAAGTATGTGAACCTTTGGACTTAATAACTGGTTGACCCTCCACTTGGCAGCAATAACCTCAACCAGAGAAACGTTTCCTGTAGTTGCAGATCAGACCTGCACAACGATCTGGAGTCATTTTGGACCACTCCTCTTCACAAAACTGTTTCAGTGTAGCAATATTCTTGGGATGTCTGGTGTGAGAATCGCTCTCTTAAGGTCATGCCACAGCATTTCAATCGGGTTGAGGTCAGGACCCTGACTGGGCCTGGGTCTGGGTGAGTGAGTCCAGATGAGGCCTCCATAGGAAAGTGCTGTGGAAGAAGCAGAATCTGCTACATGAAGACAGGTTTCTGTAATTGCCAGTAGGTTAAGGGAGCGGGAGACAAAAAGGTCATGCGTAAATTGACGGTGCTATATAAATACTCTAAAAAACATGGAGGAACCCCATGCAGACACAGGGAGAACATGCAAACTCCAGGCAGGTGGTGCCTGCAACGTACATTCTGGTGGCCTGTTCTAGAAAAAAAGATTGCAAAGCCTATATTGTGACGAGCGCGGTGCCCGACCCCTGCCCTTCTCACCAACTTGTGACAAAGGACCAGCCAATCTCACACTGCGCTGTCACTTGCGTAGCAATGCCACTCTCAGCTGCACCCTGCATATTTTCCAGCTTGCAGGACCACAATCTATGTGCCAGCAGCCTGAGAGTGATTGTCACTGGGTTAATTAATTATGCAAAAACCCTATAAATTCCAAACTGCCACCAGATAGTTTTGGGACTATCAACTCTTCACAATGTTGGCAAAGAACAATAAACATTCCTAACACACACTGTCACCACAAACAGGGATATTCAGAGGATTATTATATACAGGGGAGGGGGATATTGATCTGGTCAGGTAAGTAGCAGAGGGGGTTGTTAATCAGTTTCAGCTGCTTTGGTGTTAATGAAATTAACAGGCGCACTTGATGGGCAACAATGAGACAACCCCCAAAACAGGAATGGTTTTACAGGTGGAGGCCACTGACATTTTTTCCCTACTCATCTTTTCTGACTGTTTTTCACTCGTTTTGCATTTGGCTAGGGTCAGTGTCACTACTGGTAGCATGAGGCCATACCTGGACCCTACAGAGGTTGCACAGGCAGTCCAACTCCTCCAGGATGGCCCATCATTACATTGCTAGAAGGTTTGCTGTGTCTCCCAGCACAGTCTCAAGAGCATGGAGGAGATTCCAGGAGACAGGCAGTTACTTTAGGAGAGCTGGACAGGGCCATAGAAGGTCCTTAACCCATCAGAAGGACTGGTATCTACTCCTTTGTGCAAGGAGGAACAGGATGAGCACTGCCAGAGCCCTACAAAATGATCTCCAGCAGGACACTGGTGTGAATGTCTCTGACCAAACAATCAGAAACAGACTTCTTGAGGGTGGTCTGAGGGCCCGACGTCTTCTAGTGGCCCCTGTGCTCACTGTCCTGCACCATAGAGCTGGATTGGCATTTGCCATTGAACACCAGAATTGGCAGGTCCACCACTGGACCTGTGCTTTTCACAGATGAGAGCAGGTTCCCCCTGAGCACATGTGACAGACGTGAAAGGGTCTGGAGAAGCCGTGGAGAACATTCTGCTGCCTGTAACATGGTTCAGCATGACCGTTTTGGTGGTGGGTCAGTGATGGTCTGGGGAGGCATATCCATGGAGGGATACACAGACCTATACATGATAGACAATGGCACCCTGACTGCCATTGGACCATAAAGCTTGATTGACATTTGAGGGGGCACAGCTGACCAGTCACTATTGCCCTCTGCCCCTTAAGCAGAGTGACCGGTCATGGAACAGCACCCCTGTATGGTTTTCAGAAGGCAATGCTAAATAGAGTTGGTGGATCCTCTGGTCTATGAGTGGCCCATGGATACCCATTTATTTTGATGGGCAGTTCATGTAAATGTAGTTTAACCACTTGCCTACTGGGCACTTTTGCCCCCTTCCTGCCCAGGCTAGTTATCAGCTTTCACTGCTGTCGCCCTTTGAATGACAATTGCGCGGTCATGCAATACTGTACTCATATGAAATTTTTATCATTTGTTTGACACAAATAGAGATTTATTTGGGTGCTATTTAATCGCCACTGGGTTTTATATTTTTTTGCTAAACAAAAAAAGCCCGAAAATTTGGGGGAAAAAAAGGTTTTCTTAGTTTCTGTTTATAAAATTTTTAAAATAAGTAATTTTTCTCCTTCACTGATGTGCACTGATGATGCAGCACTGATAGACAGCACTGATGAAGAGGCACTGATGGGCACTGATATGTGAAACTGATGGGCACTTATAGGCGGCAGTGTTGGGCACTGATAGGCGGCACTGATGGACATTGATAGGCACTAAGGGGTACTAATAGACTGCACTGATGAGGTACTGACAGACGTCACTGATAGGCACTGACAGACATCACTGATGGGCACTGACAGACATCACTGATGGGCACTGATAGGTGGCAATGTTGGGCACTGATAGGCGGCATGATGGACATTGATAGGCACTGATGGGTACTAATAGACTGCACTGATGAGGAGGCACTGATGGGCACTGACAGATATCACTGATGGGCACTGATAAGGTGGCAATGTTGGGCACTGATAGGTGGCATGATGGACATTGATAGGCACTGATGGGTGGCACTGATGGGTACTAATAGACTGCACTGATGAGGAGGCACTGATGGGCACTGACAGGCATCACTGATGGGCACTGACAGGCATCACTAATGGGCACTGATAGGCAGCATTGATGGGCACTGACAGGCATCACTAATGGGCACTGAAAGGCAGCATTTATGGGCACTGATGGGGCTGCACTGATAATAATCAGGGCACTGATGATCAGTACCCTGAATATCAGTGTATATGTCTCCTCTGAAGATTGCCGCTTATCGGTTCTCCTCTGCTCGTGCGCTGTTAGTGTGAGGAGAGGAGTGTCGACAACTAGAATTTCCTGTTTACATGTGATCACCAGCGATTGGACATAGCTGATCACATGGTAAAGAGCCTATGTCATCGGCCGCGTCCGAGGGCGTGCATGCGCAGCTAGGGCATCATATGATTTTGCATTGAAGTCAATGGTACACAATTTTCCATTAAAGGCCATTGGACACGATTTTGCACTGAAGTCTATGGGCCGCAATTGTGCATTGAATTCAATGTCGTGTCTGTGGGACGCAACAAGCCATTATCTGCATTTTTTTTTCTATCCGCAAAATGCCAATAACCCTATTTCTGGCCACCGATATATCGGTGCATCACTTATTCTAGGCGCCGAAGATTTATTCTATTGATCACCCTTCAAAAGTGAAGATCAGCGGTAACATTTTAGGCACCTGCCTACAAGGGGGTATGGAGGTGAGCATTAGAGGAGGAGGTGCTGTGGTGAACAGAGAATGAGGAGTTCAGAGGTGAGCATCAGAGGAGGGGGCACTGTGATGAACAGAGAATGAGGGGTGCAGAGGTGAGCATCAGAGGAAGGGGTGCTGTGAGTAGAGAATAAGGGGTGCAGAGGTGAGCATCAGAGGAGGGGGCACTGTAGTGAGGGGTGCAGAGGTGAGCATTAGAAAGGTGCTGTGGTGAACGGAGAATGAGGGTGCAGAGGTGAGCATTAGAGGAGGGGGCGCTGTGGTGAACGGAGAATGAGGGGTGCAGAGGTGAGCATTAGAGGAGGGGGCGCTGTGGTGAACAGAGAATGAGGGGTTGCGGCAGGAAATCTGATGCTGGCACTGAGAGGAACTGACTAAATGACACTGACATCTTCGGTGACGCTAATACTGTGATCAGTGATGACACTATATACTGTCGCTGTACTGATGGCACTGGCTGGGAAGGGGTTAACATCTAGGGGCAATCAAAGGGTTAACTATGTACTTAAGAAGTGTAAAGTGTGTACTGTGTGCTACTTTCAGTAAGCAATGTGATTGTTTTATCTTCCTGCTTTGCAGGGAGAAAAAAAGCACAGCCACATCATTCCACTCTGTAGAGAGATCTGTGTTATTTGCCAACACAGGGCTCTCTTCTGTCATTCGCTCAGCCAATCAGTGGGTCCTAGCTATAAATCTTTGGCTGGGTCCTGCTGTTGAGCTTGTACTGTAGCAAAATATAGCATAGCCGGGGCTGCAGGTGCGTGTGTGCGCCCCCTACCTGGAAATGCCAGCTCAATGTACATGTACATG